ACTCTACTACCAGGCAAGTAGAGCTTGCTGTTTTGGGGAGCGTTGCAAACGAGGCGGCTAGTGACTAGTGCCTGTAGTCTTAACCCACACCCTCAAGGTTTGAAGCCGTAAACACGAAAGCCTGGAAGGCTAGAGCCCTCACGCGCAATCGGTTTTCCGCGATGGTTCCGGATCGTGGATTTGGCTCAGGGGTCTGGAGTCTAACGTTGAGTTTGGCTTGCTGGGCTCTTGAAATAATTGTCAACTTTGCTCATGAGGGAGTAAACATGGTCTGATAATCTGGGTCCCAAAAAGCATCTGAGAGCCTGTGAGTCCCGCAGCAAGAAATCGGCACACAGAAAACTTGGGGCCTCTCCCGCACTTTCAGCCCTCGATGTCGATAAAGCCGGCACATGCCTCGAGACTGAAAGACCGGCGCAAGCAAGAGGTTGCATCAAAGCTTTGACTTTGAGGACGGGGTCCAGAAAGTGGCTGTAAAGGAAAGTACTCAGAATCCGGCAAGCGTAGGCTGAAACACAAACCACATCCAACTCACGCGCCAGGGAACCATACCGCTGCCAAGTATTCGGGCCCTAGATTGGAGGGCCCCACATGATATGGCTTAGGATCATGAGGAGTCAGGGCAGTAAGGCGTCTTAGGGATTAATCATAGGGCTTCCACCAGGCTTCCAGTGCAAGCGAGCCGCCGTCCGAATCCTGGAAGCAGCTTGGATTTCGAAGGGTTCAGGTTTGGGGATCTTGTGAATAGGGTTTGGGGATCTTGTGCTTGGGGTTTAGGGCTTACCACGACGAATAGCAGAAAGCATGTCTATCAGATGTTGCGGGCATCACAAAAGCCGTAGTAGCAAGAAACACCACCATTCCCGATCTTGACCAACTGCGATCCGGCTCTCTTTGCGCTACAAACCTTCAGCTGCGGACCCGAAACAGAATCGCAGAGGTCTGGAACTTCAAACTCTTCTCTATATCCTGAACGCACACTGAGCCCCGATCCGAATCCCAACCTTTCAAACTCAGTCCTCTCTCCTTCCCACACGGACTCAGTCACCGGTCGGCCGTGTGACACAAACGCAGCGGTTTCGCGATGCATTCATACAAGAATGTGCGGGACTTCGAACGACCGAACCTACATGGCGAGCCCGATCAGCTTGAACATTTGCAATGCTAAGGCAAGGCATCGTTTGTAGGTTTTCATGCGCGCGCGTGCGCGCGCGCCTGTGCCATCGGCTACATCCCGAGCCGTGCTCCGATGGGAAGAGGAGCAGCAACTGCCCCAAGCACAAAAACTCGTCGTAACGAATAATTGAATAAACGTAACTAACAGCCACAACGGAAATCTTAGCCATAACACACATTGCCATTACAGTAGTAATCATATCTCTGTCTGATTGGAAAAAAAGCCGCAATTATTCGCCGAATACCGGCCTGAGGTCCCGCATGCGCGGCGGAGGAGCCGGATCCTCCTCCGTCTGCGCTTGTTCGGCCTGGCGGCTCTCCAGTTTAGCGTTCGAAAGTTTAGGCGTGGGATCTACGGTTTGGGGTTTTTTGCCTCCCGCCTGGCTAGGGTTTGGGTTTGGGGCTTAGGGTTTGAGGCTTTTCCCCACTCGCCCAGCACTGCGGTTTGTGCCTTTTGGTTTGGGGTGTAGCTTTTAGGGGTTGTGGCTTCGGGTGGCGGCTTCTCTTCTCGCTTGGTTGCGAAACTTTCTCCTAGCAGCCAGGATGTCGTTTCCCTAGTCGGGGGCTGGGGCTTAGGCTTATTCGGGCTTTGGGGCTGAGACTTCGGATTGTCATCGTGAGGCATGAGGCAGGGGTCGGCCGCCGTCTGCCCGCCCTCCCAGACTTTTATTCATTTAAGGACTTTCCATGCCGCCCCCAAACCCTAACTAACCCCCAGGATAAGTTCCCGGTCCTTCCTCCTGAAGCCCCAAGCCCTACAGCCTATAACAACAAGCCCAAGCCTCTTCAGCTGGGCTCAAAGACCCACACCAAATCCAAGGCAAAAACCAAGCGACCCCCCCCCCCCCCCCCGAGCAAAACTCTAGCCCTGAGCCCTAGAAGCTCCATTTCAAAATCTGAAGGCTCAAGTGAAGTTGCCAAACCCAAGCCCCTGGGAAGCCCTATGAGTCCTATCCAACCCTAAGCCGTCAGCCCTCAACTGTAGGCCCCTGTAGGCCCTTGAAGATTATCAGAGCCAGCACACCTTCATGAAATCTGCCAACGTTGCAGAAGGGCCGAGCAAGGCTTTCTGCCACTGCCTGCGCCCGACCAGATAGGCTGTAGTGTCCAGGGCTCAAGTGCTCTTTTAGGGATAAATAGAAGGCCGCCCCCCAAAGACCTGGGGAGATCCGCGAAGGTAGGGCCTCGGTTTCGAACACATAGGTCCGGAAAGCGGGTTCCGCTGGGCGTTCGGCCAGCATCGTATGGGGGTTTGGGGCTGAGGCATGCCGGGGCTTCGATGTAGGGGTCGCGAGAGGGTGGGGTCTAGGGCTTCGACTTCGGGCGTAGGATACCACATCCGACACGCTTTCGAACCCCAAACGCAAATCCCAAATTACAGCCGGAAGACGCCACCCCTTTCTTTACCCTTCGACCGATATTCTGTGTACAACTGCCTGTGCTATCTGGCCCTTTTGCAGCGCGCTATCTGGACCTGAACTGAACCCCTGACTCCAAGTTCGTAAACCCCAGCCTCTCACCCCACGACCCTGACCCCTACATCTGAAGCAGCAGAAACGCCAACTTTGAGTTTGAATTTGCGAAACCTCAAAATCTCAAGACCAAAACACGAAAGTAAACTGAGAAACCCTAAAGCAGACCTCGTTTTCTTCGGGGCCGCTGCAAGCTTCCTCAGTAGGGTTCTGGCTCGGCTCTCTGATCCTAGTTTTGGGAAGTTCTAGGAATTCTTCAACAGTTATGAGGCTTTAGGCTTTAGGCAAAAGGGTACCAGTAGCTAGGCCCATTTACCCAATATTTTGGGGGGGGCTCAAGCCCACGAAGATCTTGCGCACCCAGCGGCGTGTTCGCCCGCTGCAGCGCCTGGTGCAGTTGGTCGAAGCGGCGGTCCGAAGACCTGCAGCTGAAACCCTTTTTGGCAACTGGGTGGTTGTCAATATTAGGGTCCCTTTTTGGGTCCTTATTATAATACGGCACCTAACATTTAGGGTACCCAAAAAGGGACCCTAATTTTGACAACTACCCAAGCGGCTTGCAACGTCACGCCAGGACAGCTGACTCGTTCCAGCCATAAAAACACTCTTTGAGCCTAAACCCGCAAGTGTTTCTAACCTTCTAAAAGGAGTTTATACGGCTGTATACGGGGGTCTAGACGGTGTTTTCAGGATTTCCCACGGTGTTGCAAGGGGGCTGTATGCAGCTTTATAAGTTTTCGAATGCGGCCTTTTTAAAAGGCAGTTAAAAGACTAAGAATTCGAAAGGCGTTGTAAAAGGTCACAGGAGTGGTAACTTCCAGGATGTGCGAAAAGACGTGCGGTTGCAGCGTACATACGTTGTATACGGTATACATCCTGTAATCACATGCTGTGTTACGAATCAGAATGCTTGGTCGAATTCGCATGGCTTTTTCCTGTCTCAAAGCCTAAGGCTTGGGGTTTGGGGTTTCCGGGTTTGGGCTTCAGGGTCTCAGGCTCGCGGTCGGGCTTCTCATGTGCAGCCCGCTATCCTTCTGCAAGGCCCCAAAACTCAAAAGCCAAACCCACAAACTTCAAGAGCTGTTATGTCGGAAAAACCATCAACCCCCCCCCCCCCCCGGAGAAACCAGCAAAGCGCGTCCATCCCTGACCCATAAGCCAGTCCTATACCCTCATGCTCGAACCATTCTCTCAACACTCGAAGCGCAAAACTCAACGTTCCGGAAACCCGAAACACCAAAAACCCACCCAAAAAAAAAAATTAAAAAAAGGAACCCTGAAAAGGAAGCCTTACTGTACAGGTTCACACTTGCTCTGAAGGGGTGGTCCGCCTGCTCTGAAGCTCGGCGGCGATGGGACTCCAACTCCGTGGGTCCACGGTGACCGCGTCCCGGGGGCGCCTCGGCCCAAAACACAGAGGCAAACAGGCCCTGCAAGAGATCTATAGGGTTCCTTTAAAAGAAATCTATAGGGGTTTAGGGTTCCTTTAAAGGGATCTTTACCCTTTGGTTCGTAGGGAATGGAGGAATGGGGCACACTTGGAACTACTATTACTACCATTCTTCCACTCCCTACTAACCAAAGGTAAGTTAAGGGCTAAGGACTTAGCTTTTCTTGGAGACCCCTTTCACAAGCAGTGTTTGTCTTCCTTCCTGAGAATGGGCTATACTGGGTTGAGGGTCGTTCACTTGAGAGTTCACTTAACCCTAAACCCTCAAACCCCAAAACCCCAAAGCCCCAAGAGGTGAGTTCTCTGCCTGCGGCTCTAGGGGCAGGGACTTCTTCGACTTCAGGGTCGGCGCACCCCAGCTGAGCACGCAGATGCCCTTGGCGCCCGACGGGAAATCCTGCGGCTGCTTGCTGACTTAGGGGCCTCAACGATTAGCTTCGGATTTGAGGTAGACTGTAGTAGGATTAAGACAAGCAGCCCTAAGCAATACTACGTGTACTTCTTCTGGTCATTCTACACCAGTCCAAGGCCAAACGCAAATCTTTAAAGCCCCATGCCTGAGCCCTGAAAAACTGAATGAAGGTTATAAGGAATGCAACATTACATAACAGGACAGAGCATAACATAACACAACATAGCACAACCTAACACAACATAACATAACATAGCAAAGCATAACATTGTAACGTAGTAAAGCTTAACATAACATGACAAGACAAGACATAGCCTGACATAGCATAACCTCGGACAGCGGTACTTCGCATACCATCCATGCCTGCAAACATTCTCGTTGCCTGACCCTTGGTTCGTCGCATCAAAGATATATCCACAACGTTCGACAATGACCACCAAGCTGGAAATCTTGTTGCACCCAACCTCAATGGGGTCTGTCTTCAAACGCCTCAGAACCCAGAACTCCGCACATCAAACCCACGACTGCATCTTGTACTTAGAGGGCATGAAGAAGGTGAACCCCAAAAGTCCAGGTCCTTGGGAATGCGAACCTCGGCGGTGCCGCAAGCTACGTTGTCAAAAGTCCCCTCAGAGGAGCGGCGTCCCCACTTCCTCCGAGAGAAGGCCCTCAAGACAACCGGTCAAGTTTAGGGCCCAATAGGGCTGAGGTCTTCGGCGTTTTAGTTTGGGATTCTCATGTTTTGCAGCCTAAGCCTTGGGCGCGAGTTTGACAGGAGTAGACCCATAATGTCATAATGTCTGTTCCTTTACGCATCTCGCAGAAACAGAGATTCCAAGCCCAAGTCTCTACTTCTAAGTGGCTCTGAATCTTCAAGAAAACTGTCAGGCTTTGGACTTCCACCTATTGATCACCTTCTAATCCGCAGTCTACACCGAGAGCGCTAGCTTACGAAGGATCCCACATGAAACAGCAGCAGCGTCCTTTCTGTGACATAGTCGAGCGGGCATGTGTAGAAAACTCGATAGAGGAGGCCGTCAGCATGGCCGCCGCTGTCCTCAAGAAACGGTTCTTCTTATGGTAACTTTAAATTCAAACAAAGTCCTTAACAAGAACTCAGAGAAGTTCTGCAAATCAACTTGGCAGACACCTCCGTCGATCAAAATTTGCGAGTTTTCCGACAAGCAGTTTCGAAATTCTCGTGTCCAGAAACCTGGCTGTTGTTGTTGGTGCTGTTGTTACTGTTGCTGTTGCCGTTGCTGTTGCTGCTACAGTAGTGCTGCCATTGCTGCTGTTGCTGGTGCTGCTAGTGCTGCTGTTGCTGGTGCTGCTAGCGCTGCTAGTGCGGCTGTTGCTGGTGCTGCTGTTGCTGTTGCTGCTGTTGTTGTAGTTGCCGCTGCTGTCGCTGTTGTCTCTGTTGTCTCTGTTGCTGGTGTTGCTATTGTGGTGGTTGTTGTTGTTGGTTGATGTTGTTGTTGTTGTTGGTGGTGGTGTTGGTGTTGTTGGTGTTGGTGTTGGTGTTGGTGCAGGTGTTGGTGTTGGCGTTGGTGTTTGCGTCGGCGTTGGTGTTGTTGTTGGTGTTGTTGATGATGCTGTTGTTGTTGGCGGTGGTGGTGTTGTCGCTGTCGTTGTCGTTGGCTGCTATCTACACCGGCCATGGCCAGTACAACCACTGTGGTGAGAATGTGGGTCATGAATGTAGTCAGCAAGAATACATAGCTCTGGCCTAAAACTCTCTAGTCGAACCACAGTACGAGCTTCAGAACATGAACAGGAACATGATAAAACCAGTCATACTGACTCGAACAACAGAGAACCGGTATTCGTTTTTTGGAATGCAGAAATCCCCGTAGTTTGCTCTGCGGTCCTCGAGGTCCCTCTCCATGCCTTCGATCCGCATTGGCGGCCGCAGGTCAGTCCAAAAGTCGAAGCGCTGGCTCAGCTCCTGACGTGGCTCTCTTTTCCTTAAGCAGGTAAGGCTACGGCTGCAGAGGGGTACGGGAATTTCACCAGATAGTACTCCATGCTGCAGCAATGCGCGGATGCGCACGAGGTCTTGTGTTGCCGTGATGTGCCTGCGAAAGGCAGACTGATCGAACGTCCACTATGAGGAGGCACGATCGACACTGATAGGATTCGGCTCTTGTCTGAACAAGTATGTCAAATTGAGCTGTACAACAAGCAGGTTGGCAGATTGTCCCAAGTAACCTTTCGATTCTACATCACCAACGAAAAAAGCCTAGCTTGCCGGCATCAGGACAACAATTGCAGGACAAACCAGTGCAAAACAAAAAGCATTATGCAAGTTCGTCTGAACTAGTTCTACACGCCGAAAGTGTAGTTTGACTTTCTCAAGCCTACGTAAGTGAACCTGTTGTGCGCTATGGTTAAATACAAGTGCGACCTTCACTACATAATAACATTGATCCCTTCCTAAATCCCTGAACTCTGTTTTGGAGCGGTTGATTCTGCCCGGGAGGAGAAGTGTCGCACGATCGAATTTCGCGAAGGTTCGCGAGTTGACCGACTGGGGCCAACTGAAGATTGCAAGTGTTCCCATGAGCTTAATGGACAAATTCTGGGGGACTGACTGTCCCTCTTTAGAGTTGGCACTTGTGGCCCTGGCACCCAAAAACCGTGAGGCACAAAAGGCGGTGCCTCACTGAGCAAAAGCGCTCATGGCCAAGTCCGAGGAGTTTTTACCTAGCTTGGCGGGGAAATGGCTCGGCCTTGAGCCAATTCCCGTGCTTGAGGCTGCGTTCCAGGGAGCAGCCGTTGTCGGTGAGGAGCAGAAACCGCTTCCACTTCTGGCTCGCGCCACGGCCGCAGTCCATCCAAAAGACAAGGAGCCCATAATTCCTCAGCGTCTTGGGCTGCCCGAGAAAGGCGGGCCGGGCCCCGGGCGTGCCGGGCTCGCCGCTGAAGGCTTGTTTGAAGACGCCATCAGACAGGTCATGCTTAATTGGCTTCGCCCAGGCCTTGCACTGCTCCTGCAGGTTCATCCCCATGTTCGTCAACTTGAGGTCTGGGCCGGTGGGCAGGAAAGAGGATCGAGGTCTCCAAGTGCCGCCCCGTTGGCAGAACAAAGGCCGGAGTCTGTCACGCAAGCAGCTCAAGCTTCCCGGTGCGGCACCATTTGCCGGGTTGCAGTTGGCCACGGACTTCTGCGGAACCGGCTTGTTGTGGATGTGCAATGCACTCTGGGTCCGCTTGTAGTTGGGATTCAGCAGCAAGATGCAGTTGTACGGATTGTGGCCGGCCTGCTGCTTGCACTTCTGATCTGCCCATTTCCACAGGCCCTCTTGCCTCTTTGGTACTAGTCCGCCTGCGCTCAGCTTGATGTCCTCGACGCCCCTCAACACCTCGAACGGCACGACCAGGTCCGACTTCCACTGCTCCGCTGCGCCATATCGGACCTTCTCGTTGATGTAAGCGTTGCAAACCTTGACGTTCCCAAAGCGCGGGCCGGTGTTTTTGACATAGGGCGTCGGGGTGCAGCGTGTCTTGCCGCGCCCGGGGCCTCCCCGTATCTTCGCGCATCTCCAGCAGGCCTCGTAGATCTGGCACTGCTTACACCTCCTCACAAAGGTGTTGTGCCCAGTACACTGCACGGCCCGCTCACATTTTGGACGTGGGGCACCTTCCCGGACAGTGCCAAGCACGATCGGTCCGCCGGGATTAGCCAGCAGCTTGCGGAACACCGAGACGGACGACGAGTTCGAGACATTCGGGCGCTGGAGGGTCTCGCTTGGGCTCCCGGCACCTTCTTTCTCCGCCTTGCCTAGCTGGAAGGTGTGCTCCCTTGCCCGCACGGTGACCGGAAGCTCCCAAGAGATGGGCTCCTTCTCCTCGTCATCCTCGTCATCGTCATCGTCATCGTCGTCATCGTCCGAGGCGGCGCGGTCCAAAAGGGATGCTGGGAGCCGGAAGGTGCCAACTTCGTCGTCCGGGAGAAAGCCGCGGTCCTCGTCCCAGATGGTGCGCAGGATCGACTCGCCACGGTGCCAGTGCGACAACCAGCCTTGGGCTCCATCCTCCTCAAGGCCCCACACCGGGTCGCTGCCTGCATCGTCCAAGGTTTCTGTCCGGAAGAACTGGTCCTCATCTTCGAGCTTGCAGATCCTCGGATAGGCTCACACATGTGCAGGCGCACCCCTTGCTCTGTCTTTCGGCTCCCGCAGAAACAACTTCAATCCACAAACCCAAAGAGTACTGGCCTCGCCAAGGGGCACGTAGGGGTCCATGTCGGTGTCGGGCAGGTTGGAGGCCGACTTGATAGTGACGGTGATCCCGCTCTGCACAGCAGGGACAAGCACTAAGCATCATCTTTGATTATTGAAAGAAGAAGCAGTGCACCTCGCTGAAGCTTCCCTGTTGGTTATTTCTGGTTAAGGCATGAGTGAGCGAACGACATAGCTACATGCCCAGGTAATAATCACTAAAACCATAAGGGTAAGTAAAAGAACCCACGTGTTTACAGGTCTCTCTACATTACTCGGCCTTTAAGGAGTGATTCCCCGTTGATTTTGAGCACAGCCCGCCTTGATGTTTCTAGGGTACTCGAACTCAATGGCCTGCTCCTCCTCCAGCTCCTGCAGTTCCTCCGGGGCAGCCGCGTAATTGGCAGGAAAGCTCGGCAGAGAGGCTAATGCTGACTTCTTCGAGCTTCAGGGATGCGTGGATGAGGGAGGTATAGAGTGCTGGCACTTCCGCGATGCAGGGTTGAGGGCATAGGGTGCTGGCAAACATCCTTAAACGCTTTTTTTGTGACTGGGCTTGGCTTGGGGACTAGCCAGAACCTTGCATCACGTCCTTTCGTTAAGGCTAAACCCCAAACCGCAAACCCCCTAAACCCGAGACTGGTTTAGTGCTTCGCGTGGTTTCTGGTTGCTCCCAGCTCCTGGGGATCGAAGGATTTGGGGATGCTCGGAGTCACACCGAAGCCTCCAGGGCCAAGAGAGCTCCGACGCCCAGGCCCAGGATCACCATGAGAAGAGCTGGCTTCACCTTTCGCGACTAAAGGGAGCATGACGGTGTAAGGCTTTTTGGGCATCTTTTATGAAGAAATACCAGCGGCCGAGGACAAAGCTGTACAGCATTTCTTCTAGATTTTTGCGATCCTGAGATGGGCGTCGCCTTCGAGTTTGAGGCAGGCACGATTTCGTGGGTTTCGAGGTTCATGTCTTAGGCTCATGGCACCATACATTCTCACCCGAAGCGTCGGTTCACGGCCAGGGGGCATAAGAGCAGCGGGCCACTGTGGCAATCTTCGGACTCTCGGCGTCCGAGGCCTACAATCGGGCCGGGCTTCTTAAGGATTTGGGCATCTGATTTGGATGTATGTTTTCGGGATGAGGGCACTTCAGGGGTCTGACAACAGGAACTAGGCTAGGTCTGCTTCTAACTACAAGGCAGAGCAAGCTGTCAAGGATCTAGTGCACTGAACCGTAAGGTCCTGAAGACTTTGCAAGGCTTGAGGTTCTGCATAGCTACACAACCATGAATCAGCCACACTTCGTGCCGAACGTCCACACACTCTTACAGCATCCACGCCTCAGACTCGAGGCGCACCTCCTCAAATTCGGCCATACTTTGAACTGCCCGGGGCTATGGCTCGTCACGCGCCTGCTTCTGAAACCAAATGGCTGCCGGTATGGACATGCGTTGTCCAAACCCTCAGCCCTACACCTAGGATGTTAGACGTGATTCAGACACATGCATACAATATCATGTCCTTTCATGTTGTATCCGATAAATGCTGTGCTGCGCAATAGAATTTCATTTCACATGTATCACAATAGACAGTAGCACAGCACAGAAGAGGTTTTGGAGCTTGCGAGTGCGCACTGCAAGCCTGGCACGTGGAATCAGGCGATCACAAACCCCGAAACCTCAAAAGCAAGCCCAAAGCCCCAGAAACCAAAGCGACAAAGGCCGTGTAAATCAAGAATCGAAAGCACAAACAGGAAGACGTTATCCCTCACTCTCTCTCTGCCGTATGCATGTGCATGTATTATATATATATATATATATATATATATATTTATTTATTTATTTAATTATTTTTTATTTATTTATTATATTACGTGAGACATTGTTCTTATATTTTCTTAAAAGATATTACATTACAGTGTGGTTTGTGTACCCGATGCCCTGAGGCTCCTTACCGGTCTTCGGGACCTGGGGTGCCGCCGCACGCAGGCCACGCATGCGGTAGTAGGTCCTCGCGAAGCCCCGGCGCTGAACTTAAGTGAAGAAACCTCTGCTGGCCTTGTTTAGGGGTTTAGGGTTTAGGGGTTTAGGGTTTACGCTCTCGCAACTCGGACAATCCAGACGAGGTTCTTGGTCGGCAACACAGTAATCTAGAGCACGGGTTTAGGGTTTAGGGGTTTAGGGTTTAGGGGTTTAGGGTTTAGGGGTTTAGGTTTTTTTGAGCTCCCGTTTATGTCTGCCCGACTGGTTGAGCTAAGATAAGGCCATCGAGGGGTTTAGGCTTTAGGGTGAAGATACAGCTGAGGCTTTGGGGGTTTGTTGCATTCGAGGTTAAGCCCTGGGTTTAGAACCCAAGTCGGGAGCAATTACATCCGTAGACCAAGCTCTATACCGTCCTCGACTATCAGGTGGACTCCATTCTCAGCATATGCTGCGCGCTCCCAAGCATCTAGCAACAAATGTCTCGCAATTCTTCTTACCAAGTATTTCGATCCCCAGAAAGTAGGGGGCTCAGGATCGTAGGACCTAAGGATTTGACGAAACCCTGCCAGCAGGTTAACCTTCCAAAAACAATCTCAGGTCGCAAACCCACACCCCCACTCCTGGCGAATTGTTGGCCACCGCCCAAGCCTAAGTCCTCCCATCCTTCGGCTCAGAACCCCTACATTTGGCACCCCAAATCGTGAATGTTACGGCACGTCAGGCTGCACAACTCGTACAAGCGCCGAGGGCTCCTCATGAAAAGATCGAAATCCTCTAAACCCTAAACCCCAGACCGTCTTTATGGCAGGATCGAAAGCAAGCTGTCCAGGTCAGCTTGTGCTCCACAGCGGCCACGGACCGAACCGTGCGTTCCCGGCTCCAGTTGGGAACGCAGCCGTGGATGTACTCCTCAGCATGGCTTTGGCCGAATTCCGGGGCCTTAGGAAATTTGGGGCTGTCTCCATGGGTTCATGCATGCATGCCCATACCTGTCGGTGGGGACCACCACTAGAGCTGCTTGTGGTGGCTGACATGGAATAGTAACGGCAGCATTGGGGTCATCCTCTTCATGGCATGAAGAAGACCCATCGACATAATGCATAGAGCCAAGAGGTTACTCCTACAGTGCAGGTACCATCTGCACAGGAATGGATTATCATTGATGGTGCTGTGATGGGTGTATAACCATCGTCATCCATCCCGTTGTTGCTATCATGTTGGATGTTGAACTGCTGTGCCTGCAATATCTTTACTTATTAGAACAACACTCGCTGATTCATGATGAGCTATGAAGACTGACTTCGCTAGGGTTCCTACGAGAAAATAGGTATGCAAAAAACCTATCATTTCTACTATCGCCCCCTCAATAGCAATACACTGCAATCCTAACATGATTCACGGGGTGTACTACAGGGCCTCAATAATTGGAATACCGTAATTACAGAAAGGAGCCCCCCAAAATAGTATAAGCAATTATTGAGGCCCCTATATACAAAACCCCCATAATACCCCTTTATAGCAGTCCTTAAAACCCCTTTAAAAGGGAATCCTCAGGAATGGTACTCTGAAGCACGGGCTCGGCCCCTATACTAAATCCTTTTTGCCAGCCCTTCTGGTAGCACTGTAGCACTTTAGACCCCGTTGGATGCACCCAACACGAAGCCAGGGCTCGGCCCCTATACTAAATCCTTTTTGCTAGCCCTTATAGACCCCTTTAAAGGGGACTCCCCTAAACCCTAAACCCAAAACCCTAAACCTAATGCCAGGGCTCGGCCCCGTCGTCCTGGTTCGTCCGCACGGGCTCACCGTCCGAGCCAACGTCGCCCTCGCGCCAGGCGCTGCCCAAGGGGGCCGCCTTGCTCTTGCTGCTCAGAAACTCCTGGGCTCGAGGGGCTCTGAAGGTTTAGGGTTTAGGGATGTTGAGGGCTTAGGGTCTAGGGTTCAAGGAAGTTGAGGGTTTGGGTTTGGGTGTTTGGGGTTTCGGGCTTGGCATCTGGGGGTTTGGGGTTTTAACGCAGAGTTTAAGGCAAGCGCTCAGGGTGTACTGCATGCCCCGATGCCCAGAAACCAAGGCCCTTATTGGAATACAGCACCAGCTTGGAAAAGACAAGCCTTGATTGAGAAGTATTGGGCTCTCTCTGCGCAAGGTCGAGTTTTGAGGCTCAGGGCTTTGTAGGGCTCAGCTAATCCACTGGCTGCAGGATATGGGCCTTTGGGGGCGTGATGTATGAGGCGAAATCACTAACACTAGTCCTGGAATATTGGGCGCTGCAAGGTTTAAAGCTGGTGGGAATTACCCGGAAGCCGAATTCTTAGCAACCCCAACCAGAATCGACACGAGTCCCAAGGGATTCTACGGCCCCTAGCCCTTGCTAGCCCCCCGTCGTCTCCTGTGTCGAACAGCTCCGGGAGGAGGAGGACATCGTCAAGGTCAACTCGGCACTCGGCCTTGAAATTGGTTTAGCGTTTCGAAGAATTTCTGGTGTATATACATTATTTGCATGTTGGCTCAGTCCTGAGGGTTCAGAAACGCTGAAGCCCTAAGACTCTGAACTCCTGAACCCTAACATGCCCCAACTTGCCTAAGATACAAACCCAAAACCCACCCAATAAACCAAAACCCAGGAGCCTTTTTTCAGCATGGGCTTGGATAGTGTGCCAGCGAACACTCCCTGGAGCCTAAAACCCCGAACATAACTGCAAAAGGCATCCTGAAGAGGATCCGGACTTGCGCCCGCTGTCTCTCAGGATAAAAGCAAAAAGGCTCTAGCCTACAGTGGGCCGAAACATGCCTTACATGTCCCCGAAGCCTTGAATCTCTCCGACAAGCATGCAAAAAAGCGCGTCCTCCAGGAGGTAGACCGGCTCACGTACATCGCCGGGACGTGAGGAGAGAACATGGCCGGGAGCATCGGTGCTGACTGGACCTTCGCTGCTTGTGCGCTTTACTGGTAGGGCTTCGTTTGGGGCTTACGGGACATCGGGGGTTGTTTGGAGTTCAGGGCCGGCTTTTGGATTGGGGGCTGTAGATTGTTGGAAGTGCTGGGCTGTTGGGCAGGACTCTTTTGGTTTTCGTGTGCACAAGAAGCCGCCAAGACCTCGCAGGTTGCAGTCGTTACTTTCGGGGATGCGCCTCCGTGGGTTATTCTGTGGGACTGAGCTCCAGGTGGAGGAAGCCACGCTCAAAAATCGACATTGGCTGGAGGGTTGAGGGTTCAACGGAAACGCCTTCTGAGGCTTTTGGAAGGGTTTCTTCGGAATATGCCGATTTCCTGCGGCTGTGCTACGCAAGCCGTCGTAAGAGGATACAACAAGCCTGTATGGAAAAAGCTCGTGTCCCATACACTCCAAGAATTGCCCTGCGAAGCACCGAAAAAGCTTGAGACAACAAGCCGCAACCGCTACCCTATGCTCGTTGCACCCCGAAACCCCCCCCAGAGTCGAAGCTGACCCCAACCCTGAAACTTTCACGACCCTAAACACCCTACGACCCTGACACCCTGAACGGGCAACTCTAACACCCCGAAACCCCGTGAAACCCCGAACCCAAAGCATCGGACGCAAGAATCCTGGCCCACAAGAGCCTCCAGCAGTAACCAAGGAGCATTGCTCAGCCGTGCTTTCTGCCCCCGCGCGTGGGCATTGGCCATCAAAGTCGGAACTCGCGCCTGGCAAGATTTAGAAGCTGAAAGAAGCCCTTCGACACTTCAAGGTACCAGCAACATTATATGAGATCCCTTTGCAAGGTAGATTTGAATCATCCTCATGTGCGTTTGAAACTTCGGTCCACCAGCAGATCCTGAGCTGGCGGGTCTTTGCACTGAGGATTTTCAGAGCACCGCTCGGGACAAGGGCGGAGGGTTTCGACTCGTCCAGGGATGAGGGAAAGGCAAGGCCAGAACTGCGGAGACGGGCGCGTTGCGTGCGGAGATGTGTAGACCCAACGTGAAGTAAAAGGGCACCCTAGGGCTCAGTTCGGAGATTTTGTGGAATGATGCTTTGGAAGGCGTCCTGGTACAATGATACCAGAATACCCACCACAATTCCCAGTCTACTCAGGCCCCTTTGCTATCTCAATCTCTTCTCAGTCTTATCCCACCATGCCAGCACTCACTCCACACTCCAAGGTCTGAACAGCGTCCAGGCTTGGATTCTAGGCTTTGGGATCTAGGATGATGTACGACTCCTTTAACGTGCGGTGATGTACCCCTCATGCCAAACCAAGCTTCGAACACATCCTGCGTGGTCACAGACAGTTCCAGATACATGGCAGCCGCTGAACTGATGAAACATTTCATTCGGACCAAAGGATACGTGGCCTGCGTGGGGATCTTCAGTTCGATCTTCCTGTGCCACAGCATTCTTGAGCTAAGGACGAGAGATTTCCACCCTAAACCCCCCAAAAAAAGCTGAAGCCCTCCCTCAGAATCAAAGCCATCTAAAACCCCGCAAAAGAAGGAAAACTAAGCAGCTTACTGAACTGGGAGCAAAGCGTCTTCGCCGGTGCGGGCGCGGGCGGCTCAGGAGAAGCCGGCGTGGAAGGAGTTGGTGCCACGTCGTCGTAGATGCCCTCGGAGGGCGCCTGGAAACTATGACACACATACCCGATTACCCGACCGGCAGTTAACCAAAGCCCTAAACCTTACACACGGTTCAGCGCTCAAACAAGAAACTCCCTTGATCGATTTAGGCTGGATTGCAAGTCTTTCCGAGCTGCAGTTTCGTGCACGCCTCCGCATGACTCTACTTTCATGCATCGCTCAAGAGCAAAACGAAATCCAGTCCTGCTCAGACACTCCAGCATCTGGCGAATCCTGTGCGTTGGGAGCTGCCAAGCAGAAGAGGGCTTGTCACTAGCCTGTGTCAGTCATATGGGTCCCGACTGTGGAGTTCAGGGTTTACAGGAGGTGTGTCGTATTGATTGAAACCCTGTGGGGAACGAGGATCTGAGGTTTTGTGTGGTGTGAAACATAAGGGCCTAGATTCCTAGATCATCGGAGTTATGGTACCACCGGACGGGGACGGTGGTAATCACGAAGGCCTCTGTCATAAGTTTGCCCCAGTCGGCAAAAGCCCATGTTCACCCAAGCCCCAGAACTCCTCCAACTCCGTAAAGGGAGCTGGCAGAACTAAATGGCTTAGGGCTCAGGGCCTCGGGTTTACAGCTCAGGCTCAGGGCTTTCACGGTGCCGTCCGGATCAACCAATTCAGGCATCGGGGCATTTGGTCTTGCAACAGGCTTGACGAACCATGGCAGCTTGCATTCCCCTCCTGCACTGAAACGAAGACGAGGCAACCAAACAACCACTTCAGACTCCAAACCTACTATGGGGGGCCGTAACGATTGGAATTAGGGTGTTGGAGCGTATTCTGGTAACAGTATTTGGGACTGTACGGCCAGGAGACCTTGTTACTAATCTTCGGACCACGGCATCCAACAAAAAGAATTATATCCCTCTTCAGGAGTGGGCGGCGAAAAGCCAGAATGCTTAGGAAAACACGAAACCCTAAATCGCAAGAGCCCAAAGCCCTAAACACCCTGAGCCAGGTCAAAACCCGAGCCCACAACTTCTCTGGAAGTCGAGACTGCCGCGGTCCCCTCCGGCCCTCGTCCCAGACTTGGGGCTTAGGTTTAGGGTTTTTTTTAAGTGAAACGACCCTTTTTTGTGCAGCAGACAGGCCCGCCTCGGGTTAGGGTTTAGGGTTTAGAGTTTAGGGTTTATCGTGGTTTTAGGCGACCCTATTGGGAGATTCAGCGATTCGATGCCTCAAAAACAAGCCGCAAGCCCCTTCGAGCCTCGGCAAAGAGGTTCAGGGAGAAGGCATACTGAGGCTCCTGCTTGCCATGGCTTAGTAACTGGTTTGTAACTGGTCCCAGGAAACTAGAATTTTCCAGTTTGCGGCCCACGCAGCCTCAAACCCAATTTTTTAAAGCGTCTGTGTCGAGACACGTAAACCCGGACCCCGAACAGCTGTTTAGCTTCACACCTGACCCATGCACCAAATCATGGCTCAACACGGTTTCGGATTTGATTTAGGGCTTGCGGCGTCACGTTTGCCGTCATGCACATGTCCTCCAGATGCGCAGTGACCTGCACGGGGCGCAGCAGAAGGCATGCCGAGCTTCCAATGTGTAGGCATTCACTCCTGCAGCTCCTCCATCACTTCCTCCTTTCATGAGTATGCAACGATGCGTTCAACTCCCAGATCCTTCACAAAGTCTCAGGAAAAGGATGTGCCCTTACTCGGACCTCCGCTCGCGGCCGCGGCTCCATCATGGCGACAGACTTTGCCTCAGCCTCACTCGAGCCCTGCCAGTTAGAAACTACCTGCGTGTCATCTTCCGCATACTACGGTTGTCTATCTGGTCCATGTAAAATCCATGTACGTAGCGCCAATACCCTGACGCCCTAAGGTTCTGAGGCTCCACAGCCACTTGACATCCCACTCTGGGCCTTGAAGCACGGAAGCGACGAAGGATTGTGCCTTAAGCTTCAAGACCTCGATGCGTCAGGGCTATTTTCATTTTGGAAGCCTCACCCCACCCAGACTGAGAATCTATGAAGAACAGTGACAGGGACAGCATCCTTCGTATGACACGACCCTCAAGTCCAGCGCGCCTCTTTTTGCCTGAGGCAGCGCCATCTCGGCGCCTCGCACTACTGGACGTGAAAAAGATGCCGCCGCACTGCTGTCGACTTGAGATCTTGCAAGGCTCCCCAGGCGGGCCTGGAAAATCCCCAAACACCTGGAGACGATGCCACAATTGCAGCCGTCCAGCTACGCATTTGCCTCGCATGAAGCTCCTTTTCGAGTGGCACTACTTCACCGCTGTCTTGGCCCGTCCGCTGCGCCTCGAACACCTTTGAAAGTGCCAGTGTTGCTTCCAGCTTCTGCAAGTTGACATGCTACACCCCGTCTGTAGCTGAAGCTGGACACCCGCACGCAGGGACCGCAAGAAGCTGTGTGGTGTTTTGTGGTTGAATACTGAGCCGAAAAACGGCATACCCCCAACAATCGTCGCCAACACCAAACTGACCAAACTCCTTAAACCTAAAAGCCTGAACCCTAAGCTTCTTGAACTATAGGCCCTGACTTTGGACCCTCAACAATCCCAACTCCACCCCAAGCATGCCTTCAACCCGATGCGCAGGCGGTCGTAGCCTGCAGTCCGCAGAGCTACCAGCTACCTGTTCGGCAGGCTAAGCTCGCTCTTGGGGCTTTCGAGACTCAGGGTTTGGGATTTTGGGCTCCGCCTGCATGGTTTGGGATTCAGGTTTGGGGTTTCGACCGTCGCAACTCGCACGCAGCAGGCAAGACTTCACAAGTCTGAGCAGCTAAAGAAGTTTGGGATTCAAGCTTTTTAGGTTCGGGGGTTCGGGCCTGGAGTCTTAGGATGTAGGGAGGGGCATGAGACTCGGCAGTTGACGACTGCAGAGCCTATGGATGTTCCGAGCTTAGGGCTTCAGTCTGTGCAGAAAGCAAAATGGGTGAGGTTCACAGCAGGAGGGAAGGGGTCTGACTAGCAGTAGAAGTGATAATCATAATGGGAAAAGTAGTGAGGACTATTCGTTATACCAGCGCCACTTACGGCTCCTAATATCCTAAAAGTATCTCTGTATATTTACACCATCGAGTCCCAAGTCCAATCTTTAGGAATAGGGCTAAGAGGCTACAGCTCGGGCCACGGGTTCATTCCAAAGACTCACGGGAAGGAGACAGTAAATAGGAGCGCACACCCTGATTCGTACTAAGCTGCACTCATGTAAGCTCTAAGCGATGACAAGCCGTCATGTCTCTTGAACCATTGCAAGCCGTATACCCTATCAACCCCCAACGCAAAATGGGGCTGAAGCCCAAAAAACACTACACTACACCTTGCAGACCTGAAAGCATATAAAAGCAAGCCCTGGCGATTCAGACGCATGACCTCTAAGAACACAAACCGCACCTCACGCCGGAGCCGATGCCCATCTCGGGAGCGGATGCTGTGGCCAGCCTTGCGAGGGTCTCCCTGTTGCTCCGGGCTTGAGGCTTACCGTCAACTACTACAGTACATACTCGTAGGCTTTGTTTAAGCTCTGTAGCTGGGGTGGGTTGCAGTGCACGCGCATGTGCTTTGGGATGCACGGGTTTAAGGGTTTCTTGGCTCGGGCTCGGGCGGTTCTGCATCCATGTGAAAGAGGTATGTGGGAGAGAGACAGACAGAGAGAGAGGCAGAGCACTCGACAACCCCTGTGGCACAAACTGTAATGCAAATCCAAAATCCTTGAGACGTGTGTCATGTGCATTCGCTGTGGCTGTACATAGCTCCTCTCTTTTGGTCAGGAACTACCGCTGCTTCGCCATCGGAATTGATGCCTACCACCTCTCCACCTCAGACATCAAGCGCATTGTGCAAACTTTACCTGCACGATCACGGAAGGCATTCCGAGAACTTTCGTCTCAACTCGACGTGCTGAAACCGAATTAGATCGGGTGCATATGCATCGTGGAACATGCTGAAAGTCCAATTCAATTATCGACCGGGCAGTCTACAGGAGCTTCTTCTCAGCACCCAGTTCCAATGCCTCCCCGAAACACAGGAGGCACATCCCAGGTCCCAGAGATGCCTAAATCATGAAGTCGATGGAGCCAAAGCGTCACCGTGGTTTTGGTGCACGCGGCGTTTGATGCTTTACACCGCAACCCCTAAACAAACGAGACCTCCAAACCCCAATCCCACACCCAGGAGCCACGAGAGTTTCGGCAAGCTGGGTGTCTGACCGAAGTTCCGTTGAAGTCCTTGCACCTGTAATTTAAGGGACTTTATCTTAGGAAGGGGTGTAAGGAAAGGCTGTAACCAAACATAGAGTGACCAACAAAGAAGTGTCAGTACTAAGCTTGATTCAATACCCTAAAGTCGTTGGCTCACAGATTGCTACTGGTTCGTGTCAGAATCATTGACGCAGCTGAAATTAGCCCAAGAACCTGGAACTAGCTCCCAAACTCCTTGCCCGATGATCCCTTTTTTGCATCCAGCCTGCCCGATGATTCCTAAACTCGAAAACCTGAACCTGAACCCCTGAGCCCTTAACCCAGAGCCGGCGCGAAGTCGTCACTTTTCCCTCGCTCTCATGCGGTCGCGAGTCGGGAACGGTGCATGTGCCGAAGCTCAGATTGCCTTCTACCCGCAGGTGCCGATGACCCGGTGCTGCCCCATCCCCATGTCCATCTTGGCGAGTTTCGACACCGACGCAAACTCTCTCTCCTGTCTCCTAACAGCAACTACAGGAAGCGAAAGATATGATAACTGCAACCTGCGAGGTCAGAATCCGTTTCTTAACTCTCACTGAGGCCGAGAATTCTCACCTACACCCTACATCCAATGCAGGCAAATCGCCCATAACTGCTTTTTCGGGTCTACGAGGTCAGAACCCCTAAACCTTACAATACCCGATGCAAGGCAAATCCCCAAGAATTGGTTTTCAGGTCTCTGGAGAGAAGCCAAGAGGCCCATTCCCCGTTGCAGCACGCTTTCGGGCCCCACTGAACTTGGCCTTCTGCTCGGAAATCGTTTGGCTTGGCGCCGGACGGGAAGCAGCACCAGTTCTTGCCCTGACGATGGGCTTTCAACCCTTCATGGGCCATGTCGTTTAGAATAGTGTAAGGCTTCAAGGTCTCTTGGGGCGGGCATCACTCTCCCAATAAGGCTAGCCCTGCCGCCTTCATGACACAAGTCGTTCCAGTACGTCCACGCCCTGACGAACGTTAGAGTTGTGCCGGCACAGCGCATCGCTAACATGGACACGTGACATTTGGGACCACCCAAATGAAAACCCAACCTTTGTTCAACCCAAATAGACAGACTCGGCGCCTCGGCAAGTCCCAAGACCTAAACCCTAAACCCAACCCTTAAAAGGGCCCCCAAAGCAAGAGTCTCGGGAGCAAGGGCAACACGAGCAACACCTCAACATTTCAATTTCCGTCCCATCCCGTCCTGGCCGTTTCCCCAGCATTGCATCCCGGCACCACATTCGCCACCAACTCGGCGGTAGGCGGGTTACACTCGGGTTTCTCGCAGGTCCCGGGTTGCGGCTTGTAATTGGGGTGTAGAGCCTTGGCTTGACGGCTTCGGGGAATCGGATTTGCTGCAGCTGCTACATCTTTGATGCGGGGAAGTCTTCAGCAACGCTGCGCAGTGCGAGGGTTGTATGTGGACGGGGCGCCACAGCATTGCTTTATGCGGCAAAGCACTGCTTTAGTACCTTGTCAGGCTGAATCGTACTGGCGTCGTAGCACAATACTGCTGCTGGCTGGGGATTGGCCTGAGGCCCTGCCGGGTGCATACCACTCGCCCGAACCAGCTTGTGGTCCAAAAAGCTACGTCACTCCAAATACGGACCGCACACAGGACCCTATTTCAGAGCACACAGCCCTCTGAGCCAAAATGCCTTGACCGCCAAACTCTGCGCCAAACTCTGCACTCAAGTCCCCTTTACCGCCGAGGGCGCGCATCTTCTGGGCGCACTCCGCATGCAGCTGCTTTGGCGCAGGCTCAGAGCTGAGGTGTCCATGTTCGGCCTCGGGCAGGGGGGGTTGGGGTTTAGGGCTTAGTTCAGGTATCTAGTAGTAGTAGTAGTAGTAGTAGTAGTAGTAGTAGTAGTAGTAGTAGTAGTAGTAGTAGTAGTAGGGCGTTTACGGGTTCGGGGTCTCCCAGAACTGAACGGAGAGCCATCTCCGATTCAGAACCCTATAGGCGGCCTGGACAAGGAATTTGCCGCGAGTTCTGCGCAGCTCGCCAATGTAGATCCCTGCTTAATACACCTGCTACCCTTCATCTTGTAAAGCCCTTAAAGACAGCAGGCGTTTTTAAATTTTTTCAAACAAATAGGGTTTACATAGTGCCAGAAGCCTCTAGGCCTAAGCCTCAGCCTGAGAAACCCAGGATTCTGCACCCGAAGCCCTCAACGCTAAGCCAAGAAAGCCAAAAGCCCAGAAAAAACAACTCGCGAAACCCTCACTCGAACCGCCACCAAACCCTAAGCCTCTAAGCCCTTGAAATGGTCTCAAAACAAGCCCGAAATCCCTAAAAAGCCCCTGGGCTCCCGGCACTGGGCCGAGCCCCGTGACTGGCGGTCATTGCGCAAGCCACAAGGAGAAAGAAGGTCCGCATTGCCTGGACTGCACTCTGCTTTCAGCTGAGGGTTTCTACAATCAGGCCTCCCCAGACCTCGCGGGAGCATTTAGAAAGTAGATCCCCTAATTTGGGGCCCTATACTACTAAGGGTAATTTCTTAGGAACCCCCATGATCTGCGTCTTAGGGTCTCGGGGTGCTCGGCTTTTGGGGCTTTCTGCTTCAGGACTCGGGGACCTCACATGGCCTACTCACAGTAATTCTGTGGTGTTAGCGGCTGCGGTGTTGGCATAGGGCCAAAACAACGTGGGATGTTGGAATAGCATGACCAAGCCCTGGAATCGAAACACTCAACATGTGGAATCTCAATTTCTTTCGACACATAAACACAAATCCATATGGATAAAAAAGTATATATATATGAACATATATACACATACAAGAAATCAAAGCTAGGCAGAGAGAAAAGCAAACGGGCATCATGGCCACCGCCGCACTCCAATGCTGGGGAAGCTTTCAGCTTGGCTGGGTTGCATCCTCAGAGTCAAAGCCACTGAGTCGACGGATGACCAAAGCTGATTTTCCTCTATGTTGTCGCAACTCTACCTCCGAAAACCTCAAGCCTCAAACTTAACGCCAACAGCACACGATCGCCCCAAATTCGGTACGATTCCCGAGTCTTTCAGACAGACTGAGGAACCCTGAAAAACTGCCAACAAAGCCCACACCATATCCCGGGCCTTTGAAAGAGAAGAATTTCACAAACTCACGGGGAATCGACGGTCTTGAAAGCTCGCGGCTGCAGTTGCAACTCACAGGCGGCAGGCAAGGCTTCACGACGAACGGTCCGCACTATTGACTACCTTGAATAGCTTTTAGGTCTGTACCATTTAGGTCTTAGGGGTTCAGAGTTTCGGGGGTTTGGGGTTTAGGACTTTTCACCGTGTCTTCAGCACAGAGATGGAAAGCCTCCATGTATGTGTATTCATACATATACATATATATGAATATTAATATATAGACATAGTAAAATATGTAGGTACCAGTGCCTACATCTATATCTATACTTATAACTTTATCTATATCTGTACCTATACTACTGACACATCTTACAGTCTGTACCGATTTCTACATCTATGTCTATATCTATACCTATAATAGATCTCTCTCTCCCTCTCTCTCTTTCTTCTAGTTTCGAAGTCGGAATACTCCGTGATACTCTCCCCAAGCAGTCCCGCCATGGCTACACCGTAGAAGCAAGCTCTTGCGGATGGAGTCAGGCCCGACCAGTCCAGGTATCTGCAGCTTAGGGCTGAGGGCATGATTAGGGCCTGCCAGAGGGTGTACCGAAACTCATGCAAACTTTTTACTGAACCCTTCCGGGACAGCTTGAGTATGGATACAAATGAGGATACACATATACATAAGATACATATACATATATGTATGTACACGTACATATACCTTTACATTCACCTGCAACCATATACAAACATGCTGATGCATGGATTATATACATATACACATACACACATGTTTAAGTATAGTTATATACAACTTAGACGCACACGTACTTACGCACATGCGTAGACACATACATGCATACATACATACCTACGTATCTACGTACGGACGTACGTGTGTACAAGCCCTTCCCAAACTATGATCCCTGTTCCTTCTGGAGGCTAAACCTAACTAGAGATAAGACTACACTCTGCTATGGTTACAGCTATGCTATACTATACACTAGAATGAAAACTTCTATGCCTGATTCGTGCTGAATGCTAACTAGACCTGCCCTCTTTTATAGGCGGCACACGCTTCGGTAATTTAGAATATGAACTTCCGCAAAATCTCCACCCCGAAGCTCTGTCGAATAATATGGGGGGCCTGAATAATTCGCAATGGCACGCGCCCTTACGCCCCACACGGTCCTGCTATAGTATGTCCGAAGAGCCCTATTCTACCTATCGGCAACAGTGATGGAGATTTTCACCGCAAATAACAGAAATAATGATCCCAAGCGTGTGCGTTGCATGTAGGCGTGTTTATACGTCTGGTCGTACGACCTGCTCTTCCAACTCACAAACTGCTTCTTTCTCCCTATAAGCCACTAGAGAACTCCAGAACTTCCCTCCCCCTACCTTCGGTTAGTAGGGAATGGAAGAATGGTAGTAATAGTAGTTATACTTATACCCCATTCCTCCATTCCCTACCAAGCAAAGGTAAGTCCCAGCCTGCAACGATTCATCCGAGAGTGGCTAAGAGCTCCTCGGACTCGGCCTTCCGACCTCGGTCCTGCGCAAAAAAAGCTTCTGTTCTGATTTAGGGATTAGGGTTTAAGCTTCTGTTCTGATTTAGGGATTAGGCTTTAAGCTTCTGTTCTGTTCTGATTTAGGGATTAGGCTTTAAGCTTCTGTTCTGTTCTGATTTAGGGATTAGGGTTTAAGCTTCTGTTCTGATTTAGGGATTAGGGTTTAAGCTTCTGTTCTGATTTAGGGATTAGGCTTTAAGCTTCTGTTCTGTTCTGATTTAGGGATTAGGCTTTAAGCTTCTGTTCTGATTTAGGGATTAGGGTTTAAGCTTCTGTTCTGATTTAGGGATTAGGGTTTAAGCTTCTGTTCTGATTTAGGGATTAGGCTTTAAGCTTCTGTTCTGTTCTGATTTAGGGATTAGGCTTTAAGCTTCTGTTCTGTTCTGATTTAGGGATTAGGGTTTAAGCTTCTGTTCTGATTTAGGGATTAGGCTTTAAGCTTCTGTTCTGTTCTGATTTAGGGATTAGGCTTTAAGCTTCTGTTCTGTTCTGATTTAGGGATTAGGGTTTAAGCTTCTGTTCTGATTTAGGGATTAGGGTTTAAGCTTCTGTTCTGATTTAGGGATTAGGCTTTAAGCTTCTGTTCTGTTCTGATTTAGGGATTAGGGTTTAAGCTTCTGTTCTGATTTAGGGATTAGGGTTTAAGCTTCTGTTCTGATTTAGGGATTAGGGTTTAAGCTTCTGTTCTGATTTAGGGATTAGGCTTTAAGCTTCTGTTCTGTTCTGATTTAGGGATTAGGCTTTAAGCTTCTGTTCTGTTCTGATTTAGGGATTAGGGTTTAAGCTTCTGTTCTGATTTAGGGATTAGGGTTTAAGCTTCTGTTCTGATTTAGGGATTAGGGTTTAAGCTTCTGTTCTGATTTAGGGATTAGGCTTTAAGCTTCTGTTCTGTTCTGATTTAGGGATTAGGGTTTAAGCTTCTGTTCTGATTTAGGGATTAGGGCTTAAGATTCTGTTCTGATTTAGGGATTAGGGTTTAGGGATATGGCTTGGGCTTTGACCGTTGCCTGCGTCTTGTCTGGTTGTCCTTACCTGCAGCTTTCCGCAGCCGCTTTGGTTGTGCTTGCCCTTTGCTTTGCCCTCATGCAGCTCGACGGCCCCAGCTTGCTTCGGATGGTTTTGGGCCTTGGGCGTGGGTCCAGGTTCAGAGTCTTGGATAGTTCAGGTTTCGACCCCTCAAAGCAGGCACGGATCCAGACGATAGGTTTGAAACTAACCTCTAGAATTTGGCAGTTTCGATTGATTTAGGATTTTGAGGCAACAGATCTCTGTCGCCCATCATCATGCCAATGGCAATGCAACCAATCATAGTTCATGACGTTATTTCACGCATTGCTGCAATCGTCCGAGCTTCTGTGCCAAAGAGCATTGGGCAGAAGCTCATGATCACAAGACCATTTGTTCTCCAGCAAGGGAACAGTTGGGGGAGTCCCTGTATTAAGCGTCAGCATTCGGCTCTCACACGGCTAAGGCTGACTCTTCACCCTGGAATGTCATACGTTGTCTTGGTTACCCAGTATTCTACTTCTAAGTATGGGATAGTAAGCTGTCTAAGAGTAAAGTTGATGCCATTCCGGGTCTCAGCAACGGTTAGCGGCTTGACTGGGGCCTGGGGGTCTATTCCAGGTTGTCTTTCCGGCTGAAGTGCCCATAGTGACATAGTGTCAACAATGGTTCATGGTGCGTGCACGACAAGAGCTATGACCCCGAAACAACCCCTTCACGATGGGATTCTTTCCCATTATAAACGAAACCCAGCAAAAGGCAGCCCTATGTTCAAAACGCCTCTCAAGTCGGGCTTTGGGGCTTTGAGTTTACAAGCTGGTGGGAGTTGGGGGTACATGTCCTTCAAGAATTCGGCGAACCTTTCGGTGGAACTGATGGTTTCCTCGTGTTCGGCGCCGTGAACGCACCGACCTATGAGGCAAAGCTTCCGGGTTTCGGGTCTCGCAGGGGTAGCTGATTTCTGTCTTGAGGCCCCTTCTGGGCTTTTGTTTCGTTATTGACGTTTCGGCTTTTGGAATCATAGGGCCTAAGGGTTAGGCTTGGGGTTTTATATGGTTTCGACTCGCACGCTCGCACACATGCAGGCACGGCTTCTTTTGTATGGTTTGAGGTGGTGGGGTTTCCTCAGATGAAAGAAAGCGGCCGCCAAACAAACCCGCAGACAGTAAAGAAGGAATCAACAAGAAGGTGAAGTGCTGAAAGAGCTAAGCTGCATTTCTCCAGCTCTTCGCGGAACAGCTGCTCTGCCTCCTCCCAGTCCTCTTTGTCTGTCAACAGGGAGCCCAGTTCGTACATGCTCCTCATCGTGTCCGGGTGGGAGTTGCCAAGCTTGGCGCGTCCTCACAAGCACGAGGGGGAAAAAGATGGAGTGAACGAAGATGCCGACACTTGGTGACCTTTGGCTCACTCTCAGAGCTGTGGCTGCAACTGGGACAAAGCCTGCTTAGTCCGGAGACCTGCTCAGGCCCAAACCCACTCAGTCAAAGAACTTCCAATGTCGAATGCTTATCATGCACACCAAAGCCTACAAAAAGAAGCCCCTGAACTCCTGACCCCCGAAACCCAGGCCTGAAACTCTTAACTCCTAAGCTGTCTGGGGCAACGACTCGACTTCAACACTATCCGGAAGAGCTTCTCTGCCTCCTCCAAACGTCCTCGCTCCTGTTGCGAGCCATCACTAGCTGAACTGCCCGTTGAAGGTCTTGTAAGTTTTCTGGGCTATGTCGTTCACAGTTTAGGATTTGGGGGTTTCGGGTGTGGAAACTGTATCAACTCGACACCACCTGTGAACTTGTGGCGCTCTTGTGTATCGAGTTCACTCCTTGGCCTCAGCCCTGAACCCTAGTCAACCCGGACCAGACCCTGAACCTGAACCTGAAATCATCTGAAGCTCGGCTCAACTTACCAAGTCCTTCAGGAACTCGGCGAACTTCTCCTCGGAGCTCAGGGTTTCCTCATGTTCGCTGCCGTTGGCGGACCGACCTGCACGGTTTGCGCCATAGGCGGCCAGCACAAACCAGGTCGCCCAGGGAAAAGAGACAGCTATGGGAGCACGTGCCATACATGAATCTGGGTTGTGCACCTGTGTCAATGTAGTCTGCCTTACATATATATATATATATATATGTGTGTGTGTGTGTGTATGTATGTATGTATGTATATATATATATATATATATGTATGTATGTGTATATATATATATATATATATATATATATATCGGAAGGCATGGTTACATATACCATCATATACCTGTATATGTATACATATACGCATACATACAGACAAAAGACAAACAGACAGACAGACAGACAGACAGACAGACAGACAGACGCACAGACATGCATACAGACATGCATGCATACATACACACACATATATATATATATACATACGTGCATACGTACATACATACATACTTCTATACATACATACGTGTATACATGTAATACATGTTACATGTGTGTGTGAAGGTAGTAGGGGCAGACATTTACAGAAACAGAAAGATCGAGAAAAACAGGAGTGGATCGATAGAAAGTCGCACAGATACAGATGGGCAGCGAGACTATACATGGAAACAGGAATAGAGACAGGAACGGCGACAGCGACGGAAATAGAGGCCGAGATGTTTCTGGGAGTTGCCGAAACTAGGGGGCCCTAATATAGTACCCTGAATAGTAGGATCCGTATTATAAGGATCCCAAAATAAGGTACCCCCAATTATCGGAAACTCCCATATGTACCGAGACAAATGTATTTGCCAGGCCACACTTCGAGAGCTCTTCGCGGAAGAGCTCTTCTGCCTCCGCCCATTCCTGGCACTTTTCCGGTGTTTTTCTTGCAGGGGGTATTCAATACCCAAACTGGCCAAACGGGCTTTGTGGGGCCTAGGGCCTATGGAGCTGAACATACCAAAACAGTTTAAGGGTACCTATTCGAGTCCACGAAGTCCTCCTTCTTCACCAGCAGGGTGCCCAGGTCGTAGATGTTCGCCAAGGTGTCTGCATGGGACTCGCCAAGCTTGCCCCGTCCTGCGAAAATCCGCAGCACTTTCGACAATGGGCGGCTGTAGCCAATTCTGCTTCGAAGCCCTCCAACAGAGTGTGCAATTCAAAGCTTCACCACGCCGGGGACGGCAAACGACAGCAGCCTCTTTCACTTTTCAACTGAGGCAAGGGCTGGACTTCAAGGCTTCGCGGCAGAGCTTTTCTGCCTCCTCCAAACTTCCACGCGCCTCTGGAGCTTCGGGGCTCAGGGACTGGAACCCATAGTCGCCCATCACCCCTGCTCCCAAAAATCGGCACTGCATTGCTCTAGGATCGGCGTGAAAAGGGATTTCGCTTCTGGTTCAGCTACGAGCCTGCAGCACCGAAGCCAACTTGTCCATCGACGTCAGCGTGTCGGAATGTGTCTCGCCCAGTTCGGCGCGGCCTAGGGGCTGCAAACGCAAGCGGAAAGCGCAAAGCCTCGTCAATGTGCATGCATACACACACATACATACATACATACGTACGTACATACATACATACATACATACATACATACATACATCATATTCATACATACAAATAGAAATATCTGTCCAGTCGAGGTTGAGAGAAACACTCCCGAGTACATGCATAAACAATCTCGGCCGAACACACATGCATGCAAACAAAGAAGGGGGCAGCATCCGCGGCTAAGATCAACATCGACGAGTTCAAACAAGGCAAATGCCGAACTCGAAGAAGGCAGAAATGAAAAACACTGCAGCAGCATGAACTCGGTCACTTGTGCTCATCATGGAACACTGCGAAACGGATTGACCTTTACAACTAGCCTCAAGATGTCGAAACGGATTCACAGCACTATCTGATGCTGAGGGGTGGCAACTTACATACATCGCACGATCAGGGAAAGTAAAACGAGGAAATGGCAGCCTACGCTGACACGTTGTTGCAGCACATTGCGCCGCTCCTTACTGCAACATTCGACGCAAACCTGCACAAGACATTGGAATGGTTGATTTGAGGTGATGTTGCTATTGCCAGGTGAGTGGTTATCTCTCCGTTTCTGCGCCGCCACCAAGTCGCAGAAAATCAAAAGCGAAAAACCCTGGCTTGGCGTGTCATGCCAACCCATTCCACCCCAATCCCGCCCCCTTGCAGACTGAGGCAGCTGCGGCCCTCCAGTGTCTGGCGGAGGACTGCCACTGCCTCCTCGTAGCGTTCCTGGTCCTCGCGCTTCTGCTCTAGGGGTTGGGTTTAGAGTTGATAGGGTTGGGTTTGGCGGTCAGAAACGGCTTCGTGCCTCCAGCACAATGGCCAAGCTGTGCATCGACATCAGCGTGTCTTCGTGAGTCTCGCCCAACTTCGACCGGCCTCGGAGGAGATGATGATCATCGCAACGATGAGAGTGATACTAGCAATGATAACAATACTGACAATACTTCTTATTCTACGAACAGAAATAAGTATAACCATGAAAACCGAGTATCATAATACTAATAAGAAGAAGAACAATAATACGAGCAACGATGGCCAATAAGAAGAAGTAATCATAGGCATTTCACTGGTCAGAGATGCAATCAGTCCTTGCACAACAAGGAACAGCGGTAGAATAACTCAACAAGACCTGCATAGCTTGACAAACACGCTAGCACTGCACAGCCCGTATAGAAGCCATGACGAATTTCTTTCGCCCATGCACACGCCGCAGCAGTGCAACCTACAAGGAGGGAGGGGACAGAAGGGGAGGGAGGGGAGGCAGGGAGGCAGGGGAGGGAGGGTAGGGAGGGCGGAACCATACGTGAATTCAGCCTGCTTGCTCCAAGTACATCCACTGCCATAAACTACTCCATTGCCAAGGTGGCAGTCACAACAACACATAATTACACAGCGACTTTCTTCAATGCACTACACTCTATCATTCCGTGCTGCAGGACACTATGCCACTGTGCCTCGCTGCAAACCACTGCGCTACGGTAAGCTCTTCTACAGTAACTGTACTCTGTACTACATCACCACACACAACAACCCGGGCAGCACATGCAAGAACTTCGATGTCGGCTGGCTGAGGTGGCGGCGGGCCTTCACAGTCTGGCGGAGCAGTTGCTCGGCCTCCTCGTAGCTTCCCTTCTCCTGCAAATTTGACGTCCCCTGCACTTCTCTCCATCCGACGCCAAGCTCGAGCTGCCTGCAGAATCGAAGACAGACTCTGCATCGATGTCAGCGTGTCTGGGTGCGTTTCCCCCAGCTTCGCCCGGCCTCGTGCGCAGTTGCAGAAGAGTGCTAATCAGCTTGAAAATGTGGTGAAGGACTTGCTGCATGTCACCAAAAGCCTTCACCGCGAAGAGTGACGACGAAGCGAAGACAATATGAGTTTATGGGCGGCTGTGATGTTCGGATTGGGGAAGGGAAGCACCCAGCTCACACATGAGATCATGCATGTCATGCAGAGATGCATGCTCACAAGCGTCACTATTCGCATGCACGTTCAACGTAACTCGGCGGAGCATACAAGTTTCATGAACATTCACGACATGATACAGAACAACACCAACTAACGTTTACGAGCATTAGGCATGAAGCCTGGCACTCGCATGCATGATATGAAGAAAAGCAACTTGAAATAGCATTCATCCCAGTTTAAAGTACTTACCTCACAGAAACACTGAATGATGAATGAAACGAGGTGGCTACGTGCATCATCGCCAATCACCATGTGCTAAGGTATACGGCACCTCAAAGAACTAGCAGAACCAGCTTAGGCACGAGGCTAGCAGCATGAAACCATGTTATCAGCAAAGGAATGGCCACATACAGCGCAGCAGCTCGATGACGAAACGTACAATATACGTTCCACATCATATATTCAGAAGGAAATGCCGGTCGCAGCGATAAACCGTTGAACTCAACATACTACGACACGACGCGGCACCAGTCGACACTACCCGAAGCTTCTTGTTGAGTACGGGACACGATGTACACTGATAGTTAGTCTGCCCCGCTTTGCAGCCATGTCTGGTAAACATCGCAAACCTGCTCGTAACGCTTGAAAGAACCACCGGCTATGTGTTGGAAACCTTTGCTGGGTGAAACCTGAACCTGTAGTGACTTTTGAGTCTTTTGAGCCCCACAAAGCACAGGAACACGACCGAGGACTCTGCCCAGGCACCAGCACAGCGGGAAAAGAACATGACACGTGAACAGCTTCACACCTGCTCAGTCAGACCTGAAGCCCAAACCTTTCCTCTAGCTGTTTGAGGCAGTGGCGGCCCTCCAGTGCTTCGCGGTGGAGTGCTTCGGCCTCCTCATTGCGTCCCTGGTCCTGCCATGTTTATGTCCGATTACCACCGAAAAGCCTAGGATGCACAGTGCACAGCTGTTCGGCCTGAGTGATCAGCTGACCTTTGTGTGCAAGTCCACACCCTTCGAGAAACCCATGATCCCCCTTGCGGCCTCCAGCACCGTAGCCAAGTTGTTCATCGATGTAAGGGTCTCAGGGTGCGTCTCGCCCAGTCTCGCACGGCCTCAGAAAAGGAGGGGCGGGATGGAGAGAGAGAGAGAGAGAGAGAGAGGCATGTGGGTGCGCATGCGCGAATGCACATGATAGAGAGAGCCAGTGGAATGCCAGCAAAAAGGATGACAGTGCGCCGCGGGCATAACACAGGGCGTGACAGTCAAAATGCGACTGACGGTGAGAGCCAGAGCGTGTGTGTCTGTCGGAGTGTGACAGTGTGCAAGAGTGCACCACAGGACTCGCAGGACCGTGCCACAACTTCAAACCAAGCGGCCTGGAACGACTGCAAGCCCAAAGACGATTGTAAGCAGCTTCCAGGCCAGCAAAGGCCCGAACTCCAAAAACCTCGATCCGATAATGATAAACCTAAGTCTAGAAATATGCTACCACATATAAACATTCGTATTCGTGTGTGTAAATAAATAATATACATATATATATATATATATATATATGCTACCCCCCCCCCCCTCAGGTACCCAGGTTTTCGTCTTTGTGCTGATAGCACGAAGGAAGTCGGACAGAAAAGGCTGCAAGTGCACGCGCATGGTCGCGATAAGCCGACATATAGTACTAGTAGTGAGCGAGTGTGACAAACTGCAGGGTATGGCGAAGCAGGCCTACTGAAACCCAGTAAGAGAAAGAGCTTTGCACGGCATAGAGGTGATACTGTAGCATCCCCAAGGCCATGCACGCAGATTTCGGATCAAGGTGGATAGTGGCTATGTTTAATTGGCTGTCGTTATGGTTTTTTTTACACAGGCAACAATGTCATTGCTGTGGTGGGTGTTGCAGTCTCTCACACGAATTGCTGTGTTCATTGGTTCATACAGCCATATATGGAATAAGCCTAAAGCAGTGTCATATAGTGTCAGTATACTTGTCAAAGCCTTTAGTCTCCGCAGCACTGTACAATGATTCATGCGTGTCTGTCAAATTAGCAGTCAATAGCGACAAAAGTATGAAATCGTGTTTCACGATGGTGTGTGTAAGCTTCGCAATTGTTACTGCAAGTATAGTCTCCATTGCCTTAGGAATCCGATCTCCGTTTCTTTTCCCAGTCATGAAACTGCTACATGTTCTGTTCTTCTATATCGAGCTCAAATGTCAAGTGTGGTTTTAATATTACCTCTCTCAGTGTTGTTATCACATCTTGTAAATTGCCATTATTCCTGTTACAGTGGTTATCATACTTCACCAATACCAGGCCATTTAGGACCATGTACCACCCGGCTTGTTTAATTTATGCATCAAATTTTTCTGTGATTGTTCATTCAGACTGCTTCGTATATTGTTCGGGAACCTTGCTTAATAGTAGCCAAGCATTATGAATTAAATGAAGTACCTGCTGAGTCCTGTGTTTTATACTCCCCGCTAAGTTGAGTATAAACCTACCAGAGAGCACCACGTGAATACGTACACTTGTGCTTCAACACGCTTCTTGGTAGGATGATGGTTAACCAAGTCACACATTTGCGCTTGCTTTTTACCTGCTGAGAGTGAGTTGTTAGTCTTCCAAATCAAACATGATCCAACACGCCGGGGCTGCGTGTTACACGCTAGGTTGTATGTTGTAGTTAATGTGTTCGACTATAGTTTTTTCACGTCAGGTGACTTCGACATGTTTAATCCGAGTGCAGTTCATCAAAAGTGCGTGCATCATACAGCTAATATCCATTTTATTGGTCGCAGAATCGTTTTCGAAAGTCTGCACCTACCAAATGATGACAAGTTGACAACGATGTATGTCAGAATTCTGATACACATGGTAGTCTTTTGACTACGGGCTCTTTGTTTTTTTGTAAGCACCAGTGCCACACCAAAAAAGAATACACAACCACAACGACCAAAGACCCCCATGCAAACACCAAGCAACAAAAATAGATCCTTCTACATTTATCTTAAGAAGTGGGTGATTAAGCCAGCTAAGCTTGCATTGGTCGTGCAGCAATAGCTTTCCTATAATAAATTTTGGAGTACAGCCTTGTACGTGATAAACAGAAAACCCATGAACTGGTGTTCCCACAGTAGTGTCTTCAAGCGGAGACTATGAATTACCTAGCTTCGTGTTGGACCAGCTAGTGAGTTTAATCAAGGATGCAAATACCTTACCGGCTTGTCTGCAAAACGCCTCGCACGAGTACGTAAGATCTGCTCAATCGCAACTTTCGGTAACAACGTATTGAAATATGTAGTACTGTGGACAATGTTGGCGAAACCAGCATGTTCAACCATTCCCATGGATCTGGAGAAACTTCGGGAGCCGGAGCCGCAGTTTCGGGAATAATGGAAGTTGTTGGTAAAACCAACACTTTCCATGATCCCCCTTCAGACAAATCATGGAAATTGTTGGTTTTACCAACATTTCCAACAATTTCCATGAATTTGGAAAAACCTCGGGAGCCCGCACCATAGTTTCGGGAATCATGGAAATTGTTGGAAATGTTGGTAAAGCCAACAATTTCCATGATTCCCCTCAGGCAAATCATGGAAATTGTTGGTTTTACCAACATTTCCAACAATTTCCATGAATTTGGAAAAACTTCGGGAGCTCGCGCCATAGTTTCGGGAATCATGGAAATTGTTGGAAATGTTGGTAAAACCAACACTTTCCATGATTCCCCTCAGACAGATCATGGAAATTGTTGGTTTTACCAACATTTCCAACAATTTCCATGAATTTGGAAAAACTTCGGGAGCTCGCGCCATAGTTTCGGGAATCATGGAAATTGTTGGAAATGTTGGTAAAACCAACAATTTCCATGATTCCCCTCAGACAAATCATGGAAATTGTTGGTTTTACCAACATTTCCAACAATTTCCATGAATTTGGAAAAACCTCGGGAGCCCGCGCCATAGTTTCGGGAATCATGGAAATTGTTGGAAATGTTAGTAAAACCAACAATTTCCATGATTCCCCTCAGAGAAATCATGGAAATTGTTGGTTTTACCAACATTTCCAACAATTTCCATGAATTTGGAAAAACCTCGGGAGCCCGAGCCATAGTTTCGGGAATCATGGAAATTGTTGGAAATGTTGGTAAAACCAACAATTCCCATGATTCCCCACAGACAGATCATGGAAATTGTTGGTTTTTCCAACATTTGCAGCACGTTCCATCGATTTGGAGAAAGCTCGGGAGCAACAATACAGTAGACGCTACACTTAGAAGCCCAGAGAGCCACAGTAAACGAAAACGTGCTCTCCCAGAGACGCAATGACCAAGGAACACAAACAAATATTAGGGACAAGGCGTCTGACTTTAACAGGACACAACCTGGGTACCGGGGGGGGGTACCATATATATATATATATACATATGCACGTAGTGATAACTGCAACATGGCTTGCCATGATGAAATATCATACATTCCTGAGGCAGTGGCAGCTCTCCAGCTCTTTGCGATGTAGTGCTTCGGCCTCCGCACAGCGCCCCTGGGCCTGTGGCTGGCGCTTCTTTGAGTTTACGGCGGTTTGCCTCCCGTCTGGCTAAGACGAACCTTCGATGCAGGGTCTGGTACATGACTAACGGCTCAGCGTGTGGGATTTTAGGCCTTAGGGCGTTTGGCTTTGGGGCTAAAGTCTACCCCCGTAATCAAGGCATGCATCCCAAACTCCAGCAGATATTATGTCTGCTTCCTACTTCACAGGAACTGCTCCAAGACCAAGGGTACTGGGAATCTTTGGGGCCTCGCCCTGAAGCCCGAAACCCCAAAGGCCCTTAGGCCTTAGCCCCAAACCTCTCTAGAGCCATTTAGAGCCCGAAGCCTCCAGCACCGAAGCCAAGTTGTTCTCGGATGCGAGGGTATCGGGATGCGTCTCGCCCAGCTGGGCTCGGCCTCGAAATCGCATGCGGCTTTGAGGGTTTTAGGTTGTCCTGGCCGGTTGACACGGCAAAACCCACGACGAAGCACACCCTGTGCATCGGAGTCTCTAAAGCTGAAACCCTTACGTTTGAACGCATGTCGACAAGCAAATGTGACAGTCTACCCGTACCCTGAACACAGTCGGGTCCCAAGCAGCGTCTCTACCCAGGCACCAGCTTATCTCGCTAAACCTTTGCACACTCTAGCCCCACTCCCGACTCTCCCTAGTCCCATAAAATGCCCAAGCCCTAACCTCGACCCGTAACCCTAAACCCTGAGTCCTGATATGTTTTACTTTGCTGAGGTTTCCCTAACCAAAGCCCAGAATCCTCCCGGCTGAGCTGGTGGCGACCCTGCAGTACTTTGCGGTGAAGCGCTTCAGCCTCATCGTAGCGTCCGCGGGCCTGCCGATGTTGCTTTTGTGGCTTTGGGGTCCGACTAGGGTGCAGGGTGCAGGGTGTAGGGCGTACGGGGATCAGCGCTTGGGGTTAGAAATTCTCGCACTTGGACTTGACGGTTCAGGAAGTAGGGCTTTGGTTAGGATATACTTACTTCGCAGGGAAATGAACGGTGTTATGTTGTGCGGGTTGAAGGCTCGGGTGTTGGACATTGCCGAGTGGCTAGGTACTTGTACTGGGCTGTCGATGATTCCACACGAAGCCTGGAGCAGCACACCGCTCCTCCACGCCTCCAGCACGACAGCCAAGTTATTCATCGACGTCAGCGTGTCGGGATGCGATTCGCCCAGCTCCGCTCGGCCTCAAAAGTCGCGAGAAGCCCGTAATTAAAGCATGCTATCGGGTTTATTGACGATCACAGGCTGCAGGGTGTGGGGTAGAGGGTAAACCATCTGGGCTTCGGGGGTTTGCGGCTTAGGTGCCAGATAGAACACGAATAAGTATAAGTCCGATAAGGAGTCCAATCAGACAAGCAGCCGTTCATGCACGTGGCCCCCACACAGTCTCACAGAATCCACAGCTGACGAAAACTGACTCGCACCAGCACCACCACCACCGCCACCAGCAGGAGTAGCGGCAGTAGTAGCAGTAGTAGTGACGTGGAAGTAGAAGTAGTAGAAGTAGTAGGAGTACTAGAAGTAGTAGTGGCGATGGGGGTCGCAGTGGCGGTGGCGGTGGGGGTGGCGGGGGGGCGGCGGCGGTGGCGGTGGCGCTAGCATCGGCTTATATCGGGTTAAAGCTGTGCGACTTTGTTTGGCTGCTGCTCGGCCTTCTTACCGAGAGCTCGAGATGACGATAATTAAGGCCCATGCATCAGCTCGATGCGACATCAAACCTAACGCTACAACTGCGAACGCTTCTAGATGGAAACATGAACCATGCCCAAAGAGACCCATACCCATGAATTCAAGAAGCAATAAACCTTGAATCAGAAGCTGCTTTGGATGCCTCTATACTCTATACTTTAAGGGGTAGTCTTGCTTTACTGGGAGGGGCCGGGAGGGGGTGTTCGGTTGTCCGAGTGCCGACCCCCGGCTGAGACAGCGGCTAAGTTCAAGCTCTTTGCGTTGGAGTGCTTCGGCCTCTTCGTGGTGGCCCTGGGCCTGCCGCTAGCACTTTGAACAAGGGCTGAGGATGGGGAGGATTTTGGATTTACGGCCCTGGGAGCATCTACTAGAACTCGAGAAGCGAAGCCTTTGAGGCTTCATGCGGCTTCCGTAGAAACCTCTACAGAACTTGCCACGCCTCCAGAACTGACGCCAGATTGTGCATCGACGCCAGCGTGTCCGGATGCTTCTCGCCCAGCTTGGCTCGGCCTTAGGAGGCTTAGGAAATCACAGTCGACCACAACCCCGAAAGCGAAGATCCACAATGCAGCGTACCTATCCCCTCTTATGGCTCCTACGTACACCATGGTATGCCCAAAAACGTTGCTCTAATTGTTCAGGCCTCTTGAAACCTGCGATATCCTCGACATTCTGCGGTCGCGACAGAGCCACCGTGCAAGCTGGGGCCTCGGCTTGCCTCCAGCCCTTGGCGGTGCAGTGCCTCCGCCTCCTCATACCGTCCCTGGGCCTGCCGCTTCAAGAAAACCTACGTCATCTCCAAAGCAAAGCAGGGCGCAAAGCAAAGTATATCGGAATCCGGTCTTCAGAAGGCTTCGTTCGTGGCGCTTGGCCCATGGCCTCTAGCACCTGAGCCAGGCTGTTCATCGAGCCCAGCGTGTCCAGGTGCGTCTCGCCCAAGTTGGCCCGTCCTGGGAGCAGGTTTGCCTCCCCCCCCCCCCCCAATGCCTGGGAGCACTGCTTAGGGGCCAGGGGCTATGCGTGGCTACGGGGCCTCTGAGATTGCCAGCTGGAACTGACAGCTTTGCTTGGAAATCGGAGCTTACGTTCACGATTCGGGGTGCCATGGGCTCCGGGCAGTTCCGAGATTTGAGCAGTTATCGTTGGATGTTGATGGTTTCTTGAACTGCTGGGATTTGCGCTGAGACCCCGACGAGCCCGCAAGCACTCCCTGCAGAGCCTCATTCAACAAATGCACGCGGAAACAAAAGCGTTGCACTTTCATGATCATACCACTAGAGGTACGAATGAGCTACCAGAGTACAAAGAAGCCAAGGCAAAAACAAGCTCAGGTATTGGAGAACTAAGTAGCTTCTCAGCCTCGTCATAGTTGGCGCGGCCCTCCAGCCTACTTGCGAGCTCCTCCATGCAGTCCAAGGTCTCCTCCTCGCTGTCTCCCAGCTCTTCTCCTTAGGGGTTAGTTTTAATATTAGTATTAGTATTGGTATTATTATCCATATTAGCATTCGTATTGGTATTATTATCAATATCAGTATTAATATGTATTAATCAAGGTTTCGGGCTTATAAGGGCCTTGAAGCACCAAAGGAACGCCTAAAGAGCTTGTGACACTCATGTCCTCTGTAAGGCTCATTCTAGAATAGGGAAGGCCGTATACTATACGTTTCAATCGCGGAGCTGAAATTACAAGAAGTACTAAACCTATAAGATTAGATCTAGAGCCACATCTATGCTTTTCAAGGGTAGGCTCGGAGGTTAGCCAGGCGCGTCCGCAGTAAATTGAGGAAGTCACCGGCCTCGGATTTAGCACGTCAGGCGTCATTCTCAAGGTTAGGGCAGGGGCGTCTTAGTGTCTTGAGATTCTTACGGCGAGGGAAGTCATCGGCCTCGGCATTGGCATGCTGCACTTCTCCCGTCTCGCTCCGCAGCTGAAGAATCCACACATCACGGCAAGGATTCACCTTCCGGCCCTTGTAGTCTTCTCCTGGATTCTTATCAGCATGGTTTCCTTAAACCTATCTCAGATTCTGAAGACAGCATGCACCTTCGGCCCTATAGCCTGACCCCCGAACCCTAAACTTCCTAAACCCCTGCTTAAGACCCAGAATAATATGACTCCCAAGCCTGCAGCTCCCTTAAGAAACAAGGCCCAGTCATGCCCAGTCTCCCAGGCGGACCCTGCGCTTCGCTCCGGTCTCGCGGTCCCTTACCATCCTCCGCGCGAGGTCCGGCCTGGCGTCGCTGACCTACGAGTCCCCTGAAGCCCTGAGGTGAGGCTATACAGTAGTTGTAGCAGCTGCCAGGGGAATTTGGAAAAATTCTCCCTGTAGCCTTACCAAGTAAGCATTTCGGGCAGAGCAGGGGGAGAAGCTAATGAACGAAAACCATTTCAGTTGTTTGCCGTGGCGCGTCTGCCGCTGAAAGATGTTGTACGCCAGCTCCGTCGGGGCGAGGACCGGGATGCAGAAAGCTGCGCGGTGGCCGCCAGGGTTGCCGGAACCCCACTCCTAGATCATTGTTGGGATAGGATTAAAAAGACACATGTTTGTTCCTTATTGGGTTTTAGTACCCATAAAATGTAAAATGTTACCCAACAGTGACAAAGACTCCTTGTCCAAGCGCTTCGACTCCTCGTCCGTTGGGTCGCCTCAGCTTCACCGCAGATTCCACAGTGGCTGCATGAAAAATCTCACCATCTGCGCCCCGGGCCCGGGCGTAGAGGGCTCAGATTGCTGTAGTTGTTCAGCAAGACGCGAGCGCGTGAGCCCCAGACCTTGGTGGCACACGGCAAAAAGTCCAGGGAGGCAGCTGCAGAGATGTCCACAGCACGCGAGTAGCGAGTCTCCAGACATGAGTCGGAGATCGAAAATGAGGCAAAAAAGACAGGCCGTACACACAGATCGAGAACTGAGCCCAGTGGCTGATGGTTCGTGCTGAGTACAATAGATACCCTGGCCGAAGTGGGCTCGGGAGTCCAGCAAGGAGGCAAAGAGCTCTGCAGTCGCCTGGTCTTCGTTGCTCACGTTGAGGAAGGCCTTCCTATTCGTGTAGTGGTATAGCACGCAGAGCTCCTCTTCGCCCGCACCGCGCTGAGTCTGAGCATCTCGCAAGTCCAGTGCATATCGCCAGACGCTCACCGAGCCATCTGCGGCTTCGAAGTCGAAGGTGGACAGCCCGTCCAGCCCCCCGTCCGAGTATTGCGATCCCTCGTAGATTTTGCCTTAGCTTCCGACTGTCTCTCAACAGCTACCCAGAACCTTCACCGAGCATGTGTAAGGCTCGCACCTTCCAAATATGGGCCAAGGAAAAATTTTGACAGCTCACATCTGCCAAGGGCCTGGCATGAGCAAACCGTGTCCCCGACATCTCCATGCAAACTCTACTCTCCCACGACCCGACATCGACCTCTTCGATTGAAACACTCCACCCAAAATAACTCTAGACCCTCAACATAGCCTGAAACATACTTACATGCCGAAAACGACGCCAACACCCTCAAGCCTTTCGACCTTGACATAACCACATGTTTGAGCTGGAGTTGAGGGGTAGAGCAACGTTGTTAGGATTCAAATGACACTCGGACACTTCAGGCAAGGCAGATTCGAAGCGGTCTCCTTAGTAAAGTGCTTCGAGTCGAGAAGACTTTTTGGACGCCCCCTTTCCATCCGCCAAAGCGGCTTTTGTGGGCGTATGGCCATGGCAAAACGAGCAAGAAAATTATGGACCCTCCGAGAGGCAACGGCTGGCTTGAGGGAGTTTAACCCTCAATCAGAACAAAACCCATAACAGAATAGAATATAGAATAGAATAAAGTAAAGTAGGGTAGAGCAGAGTGGAATAGGAATAAAGTAGAAGAACCGGAACATAAAATCATACATTACAATGGAAAAGGACGGAGTAGAATAGAGTAGAGTGGAATAGGAATAGAACAGTATGAACCGGAATATGATACAACTTAACATAATACAATTTCTTTTTGCCATAGAATAGAATAGAAAGTAGCACAGAATGGAATACAATAGGATAGACTAGAAATCGAATTAGACTTAGCATAGAATAGAATAGAACACAACAGAATACAATTTAACATAACGATAAGTTACGATTCGCTTAAACACCCCCATCCAAACCCAGGAGAGGCCTCGGCTACTGCTGGGTCGGCCTGGCAAGAACTTTTGTGAGTTTTGGCTTGGGTGTAGGGGGGGGGTGGGGCCAGGGTTGACGGTTGGAGCTTTTAGTTTTAGGCGCTGGGTTTCGGGCGTCGGCTTTTGCTGCCTCTTGGATTCCTGAACGAGTCGCCAAGCAGGATGAACAGCCAGAAGCTAATACAGGGGCCTTAATAATTAGAGTAGGGTTTCGACACTCACACTCGGACAAAGGGACCCGTTATACTATAATTATAGTAAAGAACTACAGCAAAATAAGGGGAAAAGCAGAGCTGCACAAGCCCTTTTCATGCCTGCAGACACACAGTACGTTTTTCGAGTCCAGGTTAGGCTTCAAGATCCGGGCTTGATGCACTTACTGTCCATCTCTTGCGGCTCTTCAAGGTGGGGCTTTTTCAAAGCCCGACACTTGCAAATTCAGGAAACCAACTACCCAGCAAATCCGAAATATTTTGACTTGCTACGATGTCAACAGGGGATTTTGGACTTGCTTAGATTCCGACTCCTGTTCGTGCTACACCACTGGACCACCGAATCCCTGAAACCGCTCAAGGCGCACGGCCCACCTCTGGCGAAGTACCTGCACTGGCCTTACAGGAAGAATCGAGCCTACCCTCTGCACCGCAGCGTTTGAGAGTGTTGGTCGATTTTTTTGAACACCTTGTTCCGACTGCAAACAACAAGCTTACCCCATGAAGACTGGGACCATCACGAGCTTGGGGTTCAGGGTGTAGGTTTTAGGCTTTAGGGTGGGCATGTAAGCTTGAGTTCTTTGTGCGCTCCAAGAGAGGCATCAAGCCCAGATGCGAAAAGATAGGGTGGTTCTTCTTTACAGAAGGCAGCGGGCCTGTTCGGGAAGCTTAAATGCTTAGGGTCTGCCTTTGGGCCTTCTATTCTCTGAACACACAGTGCTTCCTGACCCAGCGCCCGAAACCTCTAAGTCCCCAAAGCCTGCATTCTCAATCCTGAAGCTGGTTGCGCGTAACACAACTCGACCTACTCCGAAAACCCCTGAAGCCCGAGAACCAAATGCAGGAACCCAGCCACAACAAACGCCTGAAACCCGAACCTTACACTCTAAACTATGCCTACACCCTAGAACCTCATACCGAAACACTGCAGACCTTGCGCACCTTACACCCTAAACCTTCAGCCTTAAGCCCTAAACCCCGAAATGCTAAACCAGACAGCTGGGGTTCCGGCTCCGGCACCCATGGCTAAGTCACTGCACCTCGGATGCTCCGAAGAGCCTTAACAGGGGGCCTCTTCATCAAGGGGCCGTAATAATCGTGATAGGTTTAAACTTTCAAGCAGAGGTTTGGGGCTCATTCTACGATATTCTTAGTATGGAATATTGGTCTATAATTGTCCAAGCTCCTCTATATGGCCAGACTAGGGTTAGGGCTTAGGGCTTGGGGTTCGAGGATTTGCAGGACGTGAAGGACAGAGGTTGAGGGCCACGGCTCTGGGGTGTAGGGCTTGACGAGCCGGGCCAGGGTTTCGGGTTTGGGGCTTCTCAGGCTTCTCGATACTTTACTACCTTAGACTTAGACCCGAAAAAATTCAAGTCGCCTCCTCACTGCTACATCTTGCGAGCATCGAACCCTAAACCCTAAATCTTAAACCCCTTTTCTGAACCCAGACTCTGCCGATCAGCTGGGAAGGCACTGCTAAATCTTAAACCCCTAAACCCTAAACCCTAAGATGCCACCGAAGTTCATGTACCAAGTAGTCCATGCACGACCGCTCCCAAACCCTCGCACAAAGGTTCAGGTCCCCAAAACCTCGAAGCTCTGGGTTCCTGGTGCTTAGCCGCTGGAGTCTAGAGTTTTGGGGGTTTTCCATCCCCGAAAGAGTTAGGGGGTATCATGCCCATTTTGGCATAGATGTAACCGCCATACCCCCCCCCCTACGCTTAACAACCATTATCACAACAGTAT